AGCTGTGCTATATTTATGGGATAAAAGTGCTCAATATCAGAGATAGAGCATATGTAAATATAAAAAGTGAACACAGAAGTCAACACTTAGAGGCGACAGTCTGTTTCATGCTAGACGCAATCGGCAGGCCACAAGTCAGACTCATGGCCTGACGATTGCATCTCACGTGAAACAGCCTCTCGCCTCTAGTGTTGACTTATGTTCACTTTTTATATATATATATATATATATATATATATATATATATATAAGTAATCCCACAGTTATTTTGTAGTGGACAATTATATATATATATATATATTTTAAAGTGTACATATCTGTTATAAATGTATTTTAATTGTGTTATGAATGTTCTGGTATTATTGTGTTCTGTATATATACATCCATATATATTGATGAATAAATATATTTATGTCTACCAATATATAAATATTATAATCTCTGTATAAAATGTTATTAATTTGGAGTATTTGAAGATCTTACATGAATAAATAATATATATGTTTCAGAGAACATTACTTCAATTTTAACTCAACCTTATGTAATAATAAATATAAATCTATATATATATACATATATATATATATATATATATATATATATATATATATATATATATATATATATATTGATTTCTCTCTATCTATTAATATTGGTTTCTGGTTTAAGGAGAAAAGCCTCAGATGCTTTTTGGTTATAATGTGGATTTTTTTATATATATTAATAGTTTATTTTTTCATATTTTTGCTAGACTATATTTCTTCATATATATATATATATATATATATATATATATATATATATATATATATATATATACATGCTATAAACAAGTTTTTGTTACTGTTCATATTGGTTTCTATCTATCTATTTATCTAGGGATGGTTAAGTCTATTTATCTGTCTAAGAGTAGTTATATCTATATCTATCTATCTTTTAATCATTACACTCCAAGCAAGGTAATAATACCACGAAAACGCCAGGGTTTAGTGAGAGTGAAAGAGTATGAGGAGGCTCTACTGTGGAGAAAGGACAATAAAAGAACCAGTTTCAAATGTGTGTGTGTGTGTGTGTGTGTGCACGCGCGCGTGCGTGCGTGCGTGTGTGTGTGCATGTGTGTGTATGTATGTGTGTGTGTGTGTGTGTATGTGTGTGGGTGCGCGCGTGTGTGTGCATGTGTGTGCTTGCTGTTGTGTGTGGGTGTTGAGGATGTGTGCTGAATATGTATCTGTGTTGAATGTGGTCTTGTGTGCAAATGTTGTCTGTAGGTATACCCATCTACATTTATAAATTCACCAGTAATTCATAAATACACACACACACACACACACACACACACACACACACACACACACACACACACACACACAACACAACACACAAACAAACACACAGGCACAGATGCACAAAACACACACACACACACACACACACCTGCATACATATATGATAAAATATAGTTTTATTGTATGCTTTATTTATGAGTTAAAGAGCTCAGTATCAGGGATAAAGCTTATGTAAATATAAAAGTGGACATTGAAGTCATCACCCAGAGGGAACAGTTTCTTTCATGCTAAGTTCAATCATCAGGCCATGATGATTGCATTTAGCATGAAACAAGTGTTGCTTTTGAGTGTTAATTCAATGCCACCTTCATATATATATATATATATATATATATATATATATATATATATATATATATATATATATATATATATATGTATATTAAATAGAAAAGAGAAGCCTCGAGCGTTTTTTGTTGAAAATGTGGATTTTTTATATAATATACTTATTTTCCATATACCTTTAAATAATATGTGGAAGTAGCCATCTATAACATGATGAAGGTGCCAGGACCTGAAACACGTGTAGCGAAAAAATATGAAAAATAAACTATTAATATATATATATATATAAACATCCACAATATAACAAAAAAGCATCTGAGGCTTCTATTTTCTCTTTAAAATATACACTTTTCCCACATTGGAACAACTATAATCTCACCTTATATATATATATATATATATATATATATATATATATACACACACACACATATGGAAACGTGTGTGTGTGTGTGTGTGTGTGTATAAATGTATGTATATAGGTATACACACCTGCTTTTATAGATTGTCTGCTAAAATTTTTTAGGAACATTGTATTTGGCTGTTATCATATACACAGTTATAGCTTTATCATGTGTAACGAAACATGTAAAAAAAAAAGATGAAAAATAATAACTCATATCTATCTGTGGGTAAGATGTGTATCCCGATCCCAGTCTGTGTGTCTCCGTTTACAATTGTGACAAACATCTTGGAATGTGAAGATGTCAATTTGTGTTTCGCAGTCTGGCGTTGTGTGTTCTTCAGGTTGGGTTTCAATGTTTTTCTTTTTTTTTTTAATTTCTATTTTCTTCAAAATACTGCTTATACTTTGTGTAAAATATTTTGTATTTTTCTCCTCCCCTTCCACCAATAAAATTCTTTTGAGA